AGAAACATGCTATAGTGACAAATTAAAACCTGAATCACAACACAGGAATAAAACACTATTAGTATCTGCAAAAACTATTTCAGAATATTGCCAATGTCTTCCTGGTTTAAAAAAAAATGCATATAAGGAAATGGCTTGGAATGTTATGTGCTGCAAAGATATTTTGAGTCCTACATACATGTGGAAATACTTTTTTGCTACACATAGCTATTGTCTTTCCATCACAGTGGAGAAAATTCAGTCTATGATTTTCCAGAGGACATGTCACCTTTAGTAGCTTAATGTATAGGTACAGGGTTGGGGCTGTTGACATTTTCTGTGGTATTGTGTAATATCTGAGCTCTAGGACAGCTTTTTAGAAACGGGTCCACAAGATGCCGTATGGCTTTAATTGGGTCTGGGCTGAAAGCCCCTGAAGCATGGATGGGTCCAAGTATATCATAGTTCTCCAATATCCCTCTTCGTGCCCTTGTAATGTTAGGTTGCACTGTGAGGTGTGTGTGTGTGTGTGGAGTGGGAGTACATAGTGATGGCCAGAAGCACCAAATACTATAAAGCAGTGAGTTTTCAAAATGCAGTCCTTTTCGAATGGTCCTTGAGAGGTCCATGAACGGTGCTGGTGTCCCCCAGGTACAGATGCTACTTTCCAACCTCACCTTGGACTTACTGGTGTATGTTACAAATCTCTTTTAGTTTAGGATACTGGCAGTGTGCCATACACCTAAATTTGCAGTCCTCTCACAATAGTTTATTCTAAATTCTTTATAAAACAACCCTCAAAGCTTTTCCTCTTGAATAGCTAAATTTATAGTGAGAAGCTTGTAAAATCCTACATCTTTTCATGAGACTGAGCTTTATATATTGCTGGTGTATGAGAACAAAATCATGGTTTGGCAGTAGCCCAATCACTGTGATTTTCTGACATCACTTTGATATATCGTAAAGGAAACATGATAGTTTAGAGCGCCGCGGTAAGCATTTTAGTAAGATGCTGTTCTCAAATACATCATGGGCTTGTAGCCTTAAGGACTTTGTGACCTCTTATTTCCCCTTTTATTTTTCTTAAATGAGCTTGCTTCCCCCAGCCCGGCCCAGTCTTTGCTTATAAATGAAAGATATGGTTTGGCATGACTGGCGATCAAATCATGGGAGGAAGTATCCTCTCTTTCGAACTTAAAGAGTTTGTGATTCCCTATGTATAATAAAAACAGTTGAATTCTGTCCTCTCTCTCTCTCNATTCTTTCCTCATTTCACATATTTCAAGTTAACAAGTACATTAAAAAATAGTTATGGTCATATTTCTGAGAGTCGAATCATTCAGAACATGGTTGGGAGAAAACCCAATTATGGAAGAAAACCTCAGGTCAGCTTGACCTCCAGTAATGACCATGGGCTGTAAGACAGACACTCAGAGGTCCTCACCCACTTTAGTGTAACATGAGACTTGGGGTTAGAAGCAGCTGACACGCCTCGGTGAAGTCGGGGAGAAGATGTAATGCAGGACAGTTAGTCCAGGAGACAGCAGCCGTGTAGCCCTCTGTATTCCTGAAAGAGTCACTGCATTGAGTCCCCTTGAAGCACAGAACAGTGATGACCGCCCTCAGGCTCCAAGAGAGGGTCTGAGTTAGGTTCAAAAGATCCAGTGTGTGCGAAACACATGATTCGTGTTCCTTTTTGTGCATAATGAAGAAGCTTCAGTTTCCTTAGGACAAACGCAAACCTGCTCTTGAATGCGAGATGAATGAGTGTTTTTAAATCCATATTTTTTGTTTTTTTCCTTTGTAGATGGTACTGGCACCATTCGAGACACAGACTGGAAAGAAGTAGGTATTTTTAAGCCTCGAGGCTAATGTTCACAGCACAGAAATAGCTAGTGAATTAACACATGAGGGCATAGTTCCACTTTTATTATAATGTAATGAAATCAGTTTTCATTAAATTTATGGCTAATTTTCAGTAAATGAAAATGTTTTCAACTTTTACCTTAGACTCAGTTTTTATTTCTTGTGACTACACAGGAGAAAAAAATCTTAACACGGTGATTGTTTTTAACCTTGACTTAACAGAAAACATTCTCCTTCTGTTGCAGAACATTTTATAAGTGAGTTGTTTTTGTGCTGGAGTAGTCTTCAGCTGTTTAGCTAATTAGAATAGCACATTATGGAAAGAATAAATGACGTTATTTTTTGGCAGATGCCTGCTATAAAAGACATTGGTAGGACTGAGAAAATCTTGGGATGAAGGACTAGANAAGAATTACTCTTAACTGTTGGATAGCTCTCTCAACTTTTCTCAGAACTTTCAAAAGCAAAATATTGTTTGATCTCGACAGAGGCTGGTAGGGAAGACACCATGCTTCTCATCCCATAGAGGTGGCAGCTGAGCCTCATGAAGGTGTCGTAATGTGACTGTGAGCCGCAGAAAGCTCACAGAGGATCTTGGCTTCTCTCTGTCACTGCACAGAGCATACAGTCACCTGCAAGCAAAGGGGCATCATAGACTTGGGGATGTTCTAGCCACCCAGAAGCGACTTTGAGTGGCGCCCCAAGGCCCCAAGCAAGCAAGGTGCACTCTCCTCACCCTCAAATCGGGGCTGTCAGGACTGCTGACTGGGAGCTGCCTGCTGGCTTGTCTTCCCTGCTCCCAGGCAGCAGGGTGCTCTGTGGTGATTCTCGCCATGCTTTGTTGAGATCACTTGAGATAGCTCCGGAGGCTGAGAGTTAAAAGGGGCTGCAGCCCATCTCTGTGGCCCTTTCATAACATGGCTTCCCCTTGCCGGAGCCCATCTTTCTCTACTGAGCACCAGTTACATCCCTGGCCATGGGCTGTGTATCTTCACAACAGCTCCGAGGGTTAGGCATTTACCAACACCCCCATTTTACAAAGAAACTGAGCCCCACATATACTGGGACTTGCTCAAGGTGTCACTTCCAACAAAAGGAAGAGCTAAGATTCAAATCTAGACCTTTTTTACTCAAAAGTTCTGTTTTTCTCTTCCTCCCTTCTCCCTTTCTCACCTCCCCTCCCCTGCCCTCTCCTCTCCTGTTTCTCCTATACCATGCAGGGCTGCCCTGAGTCCTTGCATCTTTGTGTGAATTAAGAAAAGTGGAGGCCGCTCTGAACGAGGTATAAGGTGAGCGAGGACTAGATTTCAGCTGATCTCCCCCTCAGACATCATCTCAGCTGGTCACCTTTGCAGAGGACACGACCTGCATGTCTGGTGGCCCTGACACCATGCTGGCACCAGGAGCCCCAGGTCCTGACTCAAGCCTTGCCATTCACTTGCTATGTGACTGTGAGTAAGTCGCTTCTCTCTGGGCTTCTGAGTCCTCGTTTGTACAAGGAGGTTCTTGAACTACCGTCAAATGTCCCTCCCCATTTGAACGTTTTTGTGAGCCTACGCAACACTTTCTAAGTGGGATTGAATGGCAGCACCTAGTTAGCAACGGATGGCATGAGGCTTAGATGCATTCTGTATCTGTTTTGTGACTGTACGTCCTAGTAGATTGGAGGACCCATTATCTCAAAACTCAAATAGCTACTAGGACCAGGCAGGTGCATACATAAGTCAAGCAGGCAAGTGTCTGAAAAACCTTGTGGCTTTAAAAAAATTTTTCCATTTCAGATAAAAACATAATTCAGAGACCTAGTTCTCTAAAGAGGTGCAGCATAAAGAAACTAACAGTGGACCCTGAGTCTCTGTGGAAGTGGCAACAGGGAGGGGAAGACCTGGGACTAATGGGGAGTCCTTGCCCTAAGAAGCAGCTGTGACTAAATGTCGGGGGACATTTGCTATGTAGGAATTCGGGCCCATTGTTTCTAGAGCTCCTGCTTTTTCAAGAGAAGCTGCAAATCTAGATGTTTATGTAAAAGCTCCTGATTTTAACATGCTGGTTTACTTTTTTGTTAAACCCACTGCAGGTCAAATAAAATAAAGTGTTGTCTACTTTTATCCTAAGGCTTCTCCCCCCCCACCCCCTGCCCCCGAAAATATCTTGGAAAATTTCAACACTCATTCATTTATTAACTATTCATTGAGTCCCTATTATACACCTGGGATTCCTCAAGAGACAGTCTAGTTATTTCTTTCAGCTTCTTGACAAAGTAAACAATTTAGTATGTTTTATTTGAGCACATACAAAAAAAAAACCAAAACAACCCAAAACAAAACCATTAACTTCTATCCAGAAAGTCTTTGCCTGAGCACAGGATTGGTGCTATAAAATGATGAGGCTTATTAAAAGAAAATTCACGGTTACTGAGTCGAAAATAAACAGTGAGTTCAAAAACAAGTTCAAAGTGTGATCTTGTTATTTGGGGAACTCAATGACAGCATTGTTTTTAAATTAGCCTTGTTATTTTTAATCTGAATGTTAATTCGAGGGGCATTTTCTTTAACTATCCTAATTGGTTTTAAATGGATTGTTTTTCAACTTCACTAAAAGTGTGTTTAGCCTCATGTCCCTTAAAATAATATCTCTTTATCAAGCATGTCTCTACCCAGGGCCCGAGAGGAAACTAGAATACAGTAGCTCTCTGTTTGAAAAGTGCTCTGTTCAAATGTGAAAAAGGAAGTGCTGGAGCAGAGTGGGAAAGGCAGAGGCACAGCCAGGAGCCTGGCAGGGTGATGAATATGTCGTTTCTGAACATTTATAAGTTAGAGCTGTCGCCAGGCAGGAGGATGGTGGGGCTGCATCCGTTACAAGGATTGTGAATTATAACCATTAAGAACAACACGTAGATTGTAATTGTTAGTAAGGCACACGTTATTAATAGCAAGTTTTAAATAGTAAACGTTATATAAGTTGTTATTAATAGTCAACTCTTAGTAGCAGGAGCTAACACCTACTAAGCGCCACCTCTGCCGGCCACTTCACCTGCATTGTCTCAGGGGCAGCTCCCCGTAACCAAACAGGGCAGCTGTCATTTCCCCCTTTATCACTGGGGAAACCGAGGCTCAGAGGAGCGAGGCAAGTTGCCTAAGATGGCAGAAGTACTGAGACATGGGAGTGGATTCAACCACGTCTATCTCCGGAAGAATCGCAGAATTCACCTGTACACAGTTGTATACGTCATGCCAGTTCCCTTTTCCGAACTGCTTCTTGTGGCTCCAAGAAGAGAAGCATAGGCAAAAAAGATGAATGGGGCATTTTAGCTAAGACCCATGCAAGAGGAAGCCATCTCGTTCCTGAGGCTGATTTCCCCAAGAAGAAATGAATCTGATTCCTTAGTAAAAGTGACTCGGTGGGGGAGGGTATAACACGATAGGAATGCTTTCTTTCAGGTAGGTTTTAAAGCAGACCCCTAAGAGGTTGCTGTGAAACCGCCCTGCCTGGCTTCTTGATGCAAAAGTGCTTTGAAGCTCCAAGCTGGCAAGAGAGCAGCGAGTGCGCCTGGAAGGCTTGATTGCAGGAGGGGACCCGCTGGATTTTCTCGGCAGGCAGGCCTGTGTGTGAGAACGCCAGAGCAGCTGACCTCCTGAGAGAAAGCGAGTTATTGCCACGGTTTCTTTGCATCGTGTCATCGATAGTTTTTCCATTCCCTAATAAACGGTGCCATTGACATAGCAATGCTGGAATAGTTTTTTGAGGAACAATTTCAATCAACACGATACATGGGATGTTCTGTTTTTCTTGCTTTCTTGCTCGCTCTAGCCAATTGGCTCAGAAATCTATAATCAGGCACCACAAGGGCTAGGAAACAGACACTTTCTAGGAGATCTGAAAGGCCAGGCTCGTAAGCCTGCCATTTTCTTGTCGTGCTTCCTTGNTGCTTAGGAGTCAAAGTCAGCTTTGACACTTGTCAGTATAGTTAGTAACCAGCCAGCTTGCTCTCCAGGATAAAAACATTCGGTACGTGAGAAAGTGCTCTTAAACCATGAGCTATTCCTCCGATATAATCAAGCTACTGCTTCCGTCTGTATGGCTGACCTAACCAGCTTCAGCTGTGACTAGAACCTGCAGCCTTTCACCAACTAAACACACAAAACGAGCGACCCACCTGTCCTACGAAGCTGAAAGGGGCAACGACCTCAGACTGCTCTCCAGTGCAGGGGTGGCGGGGAGGTCCTGACGGGCTGTTCCCGCGGATGGCTCCAGCTGGCCTCTGCTGTTCGGGCAGCTCTGCTGTGGTCCGGTGTGGGGTGTAGGTGTGTGCTCGTGGGCTTCCTGCTCCTGGGCCTTCACTGTACAAACTTTGGTATTGTCCGGGTCTGCTCACCGCAGCCCCCTCAGACCGAGGCTGACAATGGCACCTGGGCGCCTCAGGTCCCAGCCGGGGCAGAGCAGCAGTCAGCTGTGGGGGAGGTCTCATGGCCTCCCAGTTCTGCTTGCTCCCATTCCTCTTCAGACTCAGTTTAGAGTCTGAAACCTCTTTTGGAGGGTAAAAAAACCTGCCCTCGATTTCTCTTCAGCTCCCTATCTCCCTCGTCTCCCCGTGACTTTGATTCTGCTTCGGGGCAAGTGACTTCCTCACATTGATACCCTGAGAAAAATATTCTTTTTAACACGTTTGTTTACATTTGATCAATCCCAACCTAAACACACCCTGACCACCTACTGTGTGCCAAGCAGTGTGCCTTTGCTTGACGCACCTAGCTCATCTCCGAGATACCGGCACCAGGTTGCTTTCGCCTTAAACTCCTCTCACAGCAAGTTCAGAGGAGAACTTCCAGAGGGGATTTGCTGCGGGGCCTGTGACC